AGAAGACAAAGTGGGAAGTACGGGCATTTTTTGGATATCTGAAGAATGCCGAGGGACGTTTGATAGAAGACGGCTATCCTGTTTGCAGCACGTGCAGAAAAAGTGTCTGTGAAAGGCAGCAACGCTTCAAATCTCATGACACATCTGCGTGACCATCACCCACAACTCTACAGTCAACGCAAGGCAAGCTAACATTAGCGCTTTAGCTAAAATGCGTGACCCGAGGATTTGGGTTGAGGGAGAATGCAACGAGTCGCTATATAAAGCAGCCGCAGCGCCGCTACCTGCATATAAACCGTGCCGCGGACACCGCCATGTTGAAATGACGCTATGCATTACGGGGCTCCCAGGGGCAGATAAGAGTTGGTCTCTCTCCGAGAATAATTATGAATTTAACAACGATTACTGCCTGATGACATTTTCCCACATCTGCAAAGCTCACTGGAAGGACACAAACCGAGGACGATATTTCCTGATATACTGGGTTTATTTAGTTGTCTGAAAGTGTAACACGTTTAAAAAAAATACCACGATAATACCAAAAACCGTGATAATTTTAGTCACAATAACCGTGAGGTTAAATCTTCATACCGTGACAACCCTAGTCTCCTCCCAGTGGGACACGTTGGAAACACTTCCTTTTGTGGTTCTTCATCATAAACAGAGCAAACAGAGCTTGTTTTTACCTTTGCTGACATGTTTGTTGAAGGAGTGTACGTGCTGGACCTTGCATGGGACATGGTGATCAACGGAGAAGGCACGGGCAGCAGAGGGCAAGATCGTCCTCTGCTGCCTAAACGGACCTGACGCCACCAACATCAGCGGTTGCTCTGACGAAGGCGGCAGTGGTCATCGAAACACGTCAGCAAAGTTAAAAACAAGTTCTAGTTGCTCTGCGTAAGACGAACTACAAAATTTAAATTGGATAGAAAGCACAGAACGACCGTAACAAAGACCTCCTATGGATGGCGCCCATGCAGAAGGCACCCCTCCTAGATGTCCAACCCCACTCAACCGTTTCCCTTTTGGTACAGAGAAGCAGCGGCTCTTCTCTGATCCTGGACGGACCATCTCCTGACCCTCACCCCGAGGGCGAGTCCAGTCGAGCTGCTGAAAAAAGCTCATTTCAGCCACTAGAATTTGTGTTTCCACCTTTTAAGTCATCACCCACAGCTCATGAACACAGGTACGGATTAGCGTGTAGAGCAGCTCCCTTTTCCACCGCGGATCAGCACAGCGTCTGCTCCCAACACTCGACTTTGATCTACTCAAAGGTCACTTGTGTCTTAATACATTTGCTGTGGTCTCTAGAATGAATGAGTCGTTTTCTTGTGCTCCTGTTTTAGGAGGCGGAGGTTTGTTGGAGGAGTGAGGGCAGAAAACGGCAGTATTTGGGGGTGTTAATACTCGTTAATATTCATGATATGCAAACGTGTCATCGCTGACTGAGAGCAGCGCGACTCTTCCGCTGCCTCTGTTCGCTCTACTTTCTTGGGTCGAAGTTTTATCTCCAAAAACACAAGCCTGAGCATGTTCCACCATGTTGTGAAGCAACTGATGCTAATGATTAGCTTCTACTAGCCAACTGTTCTCTCCTTCCTCTTGGGCGGCCCAAAGCCAAGGTGGGCGGGGCCATGAATACTAATTTTCCCAGTTATGTAAAAAAAGCTTTTTCTGAATGGATTATTTCCTTACCGAATGTCTTTCCTTGGCAAACGCAGGCAAGGAAAATGAGGAACATCTTTACATTCAACATGCAGGCACAGCTCAGAGTGACGGTGTGGGTGCAGGATCGACTCGGGGTCCTTCGACTGCCGATGACGTCACATGACTGCAAATCTACTCGGCTTTCACACACACGTTTTGGAAAGACATCAGCAGTTTTGTTAATAAATTCTTGTTTGTTAACACCTAAATGTTTTCTTTATAATTGTAATTTGTTAATAAAACATCATATCATCTTTGTTTTGTAAAGAATGTGAAACTGCATAAAACCAACATCGGACTGACAAAAATTAGAACAGTTCTTATATGTGAAGCCATATCTGTTTGTATTAATGTGGAGTTCGTCTGTATATTTCCTTAGTTGTTATCTAAATACATTATTTGATTCAAAATATTGCTTGGTGTCTTTCAATAAAGTTCTTATATTTCATTTTGCCCCATTTCATCAACATCAAGAGCTTTAGAGGGTCACCGTTTATCGTTTGCTTATATTTTACATTTCCTTTAGATATTCAAACACATTTTCTCCAAAAAGTGTTGATTTTTGGACTACAGGACTACAACCGCTAAGACTACGACCGCAAATTTGTTCTGACCAATCAAAATCATAACGTGATAGCGTAACTTCCGTAAGCTTCATGTTCAGCCAATCAACTACTTTGACATCATCGGCAGTCGAAGGACCCCGAGCCGATCCTGTACCGACACCGTATCATACAAAAAAAAAAAAAAAAAAAAAAAAGAGTATTACACGGTTTCTTGGTGAATACCTCCTTTAAACTGCTCCTTATGGGGCAGGAGCTTGCTCCCAGCCAAGACTTGGCAACCTACACTTTTCCGGTCGAGGACTATGGCCTCAGACTTGGAAGCGCTGATCTTCATCCCAGCTGCTTCACACTCAGCTGCAAACTGTTCCAGCACTTGCTGGAGGTCCTGGCTCGATCAGGCCAACCTCAAAACATCATTCTCAAAAAGCAGGGATGCAATCTGCAGCAACCCCAAACTGGAGACCCTCTGCTCCTTGGCTGCACTTAGAAACTCCATACATGTATTTTTTTTTTTTAATTGGTCACAAAAAAACTACCTTGGCAGAGTCCAGCTCTGCCTGGAAATGATTCTGACAAACCTGGAATGTGAACCAGACTCTGGTTATCGAGGAATTGGACGGCTCTAGGTGTTAAATGCATTGTTGTGCATACGACTAACAAAGCGGGAGACGTTTTGTGGCTTCGGTCTTTGCTCGATCAGCTGGCTGTCATCAGGCAGAGAGGAAGTTCATTATTTGCCGCCGACATCGCTAATGCAAAGAAAACAATCGCATAATAGGAAAAGAATCCAATCTTAAGCTTGTTTGAATACACAAGGCAAACAGCATGCATTAGTTGGGTTTGCAGGCCAACGTGCACGGATCGGGGGCTGTACTGTACACGTCATTAATGGTAAGCCAAACAAACTGGGTTAGCTCTCCAGCCTGGCAGAACAGGACTTGTTGAAACTTGGATTATGTTAACAAATACTGGTGAGTAAGTGAAACCGTAAAAGCCGGCCTTGTCCAATAACATCTCCAAATGAGTCATGCTTTTAGCTGTTAGAGCGAAAACCTTGAAGAGGGAGAGAAGCAAAGTAAACACAATTAAAACCACGACTTCCTTCTTCTTTCTAAAAGCTGCAAGTCGCTGTAACTCAAACACTCGTAAAGGAATCGGGGTGACGAGCGTCTTTTGCTGAGACGAGTGAAACAAAACGCTTAAAACCTCTCTAATGCCTCCGACTCTCCCTGAATCTCAATGTGAAAACCTCAGTTTTTGTTATTTTGCCTTTTTTTTTCTCCGCCGGCTGGGTTCCATTCTGGTTGCTCCGACAACATAATTATATGTAGTTAAGCAAACGCTACAGAGAAGGGTGAGAGAGAGAGAGAGAGAGAGAGAGAGAGAGAGAGAGAGAGAGAGACACCAGCCACGCAGGGAGGAGAGAGAGTGCTGGAGCAAAGCGGTTTGTCATTACTGGTCTGTTTGAACCTTATAGAAAATAAGCAGCTAAAACTTGAGACCGGGCCAGTGGCGCTCCAGTTTCTCACCATAAAGTCCAAGTGTTCCAGTCAAAACACGCACTCCTAAAATTATCAGCATATACTCGACTTAGCTCCTGGTAAAAATAGAAGGTTTTATTAGAAAAGCTAGCCCAGTGGAGGCGTTTTGTCTCGTCCGAGTGTAGACGCTCCACACAACGGCCTCGTTCCGATCCCGGACCACAACTAATGAAGCTCATAGTCCCAAAAAGCCAGAAGCTTCTGCCCCATCCAACAGTCCCTCACAATTCACAGCCGTTCACACCTACACACACACACACACACACACACACACACACGTAGCACTCTCTCTCCCCATCTTGATTAGATTAGAGCGAGCGGCTTGGTGACAGCCTCTGGGCAGGCGGCAGGAGCGGCGGATATCTGAGCCGCCGTCCTCAGCCAGTCAAGACAGAAAGAGATAAAATATCTAAGGGAGCTGACCTCACTGGCAAAAGCACCCTCGGAGGAATTATGGGAACAAATTTGTCAACATAGGAGGTGAATCTGGGAAAAAAATCTGAAGGATTTAGGAATATCATTTGCCCCGTGATCGATCTGCCGATTCCCAAACACAAGCTTTGTTAAAGACCAAGTTCACTTCTTTGGTCTACACATCTGCAGTGCTGTCTAGCCTCTCGCCTCGCCTCTGATTGGCTAACAGCAACTCCACTCAACCACTGACTTTTGCAACGTTGGCGTTTATCTCCACAAACAACACAAGCCTGGAGGAGTTCTGCTGTGTGGTGGAGTTGCCAACATGAGTCAAAACTCTTCAATAAATCTCCGATACTTAATAAAATGAAAGTTCCACGCTAAAATATGACTAAGCACAGATGCAGTGATCACATTCGCTTCAGTAAGTAACCTCATATCGATCTCTCTGACCAAAAACAGAAGGCGTGCCAAAACAGAAAGGCCTTTGTTCCCTTTGTAGCTCCTGACCACCTACCAAGGGCTCTTTAGAGAAGCACTCACCCTGGAATTATCAGACCACTTCTCCCCCAAGGCTCCACAGGCCTACAGAGACCCCTGGGCCAAATACATCCTGCCCATCTCCTGAGAGATTATCCAACTCAATGAACACATTGAGGGCAGAAACACTGGGAGAAACCAGAGCCGGCTATTCAGCCACATCTGAACCCGAGCTCTTTATTCACGCTCACAGCTGAGAGGAGAGGGAAACAAGCAGACATGCTGCACTTACTGGCTACTTCCAGGGAGGCGTTGTGGCTCACTGCTTCTCCTAGGTAGTTGCGAGCAACACAGACGTAGGAGCCTTCGTCCGGCTTGCTCCGTCGTCCGTGGACGATGCGGAGGAAGAAGAGGGAGCCGCTCGGCAGCAGCATGCGCTGAGAACGAGGATTGTCCCTGTCCGTTTCCACGCGTTCCCCATCCTTGTACCACTCCACTGTTGGTGTCGGCCTCCCTTCTGCTTTACAGTTGAGGGTGGCGGGCTCCCCTTTGGAAACAATCAGGTCCGACGGGTGCTCTACAATCCTAGGTGGGGTGTCCTCTTGGCGTAGCCGAGATCCTGAGGAGAAAATATAAAGTTTACTTCTGCAAGAATTCAGACCCACTGAGTAGAGGTCAGGACTTGGTCCTGGTTTTAAATCTTGGCTTGTTAGAGAAAACCTTCAATCATCTCCCCATTCAGAAGAAGAGATATCACCAACATGCATTTCTGATACTTTATTGTGTGTGTGTGTGTGTGTGTGTGTGTGTGTGTGTGTGTGTGTGTGTGTGTGTGTGTGTGTGTGTGTGTGTGTGTGTGTGTGTGTCATCCGAGTAAGTCTGCATTTCTACAATCAAAAACCAACAAACTTAAAGGGACTTTGCAGAGTTTTGAATTTTTATGCGCGCGATTGCCCCCTCAGGCCAAAAGCGTAATGGCAGCTTCAATAATAGGCTTGTGCACGAGGCGCGCATGCTGTACGTGCACACTCCTTAACAAAAATAACAGGTGAGACAGCCCCATGTGTGTGTGTGTGTGTGTGTGTGTGGCCCGGAGGACAGAGGACAGGAGAACGCGCAGCTAATTAATTAAATAATGTGGTTCTGTACCTTTCTCTTCAGCACAGCCGACAAAGGTTTATGATGGGTCAGTCCTCCTGCATGCTCAAATCATTCCCTTCCCTTGCTTGAAAAATTGTTCCAAAATGAAAGTTGAACCCACATCTTTTTTTATCTGTGAATTCAATGCCGTTCGGCGAGCCTCAAATAAAAATTTGGGCATCTTACTGTAAAAAAATATACCATTAATGTAAAAAAGAAACTCTAAATAAACTATGTTCAAATCCAGAATCAAACCCAGGTCTTCTGCTCGAGAGTCTGACGTCTTACTAGGTGAGCTAAAGCACCAGTGACATTCTTTGTATCTGTAACATGTATATCCTTGATGACAGCTGAAACAACGTTCAAAGAACGGTTTGGAGTGAAAATGGCTATTTTGTTGCTAATTTGCAGGAAATATCTAGAAGAAAGTTCTACAGAAAGTAGCTAAGGGTCCTCAGAAATGTAGCTAGCTTTGTCACTAGGCGTTAGGAACAGCGACAAAGTGGCACTGCCTCTCTCTCTGCTGCTAAAGCTACGGATAGCAAATGCTACAGGCTATGCCTGAGCGTGAACGCGCATGAAGCAGCCTGCTCGACCCGAGCATCTCTCTTTTTCTGTGATTTTACAGAAAAACAGGCAATCACAGTAAAAATGCCAGGGCTCATTCTACAGGACCAGGGCATTGCAGGAGAATGTATGAAGAAGACGTTTATTATTTCTATACATGTTTTGGCTGTCACACTTCCATAATGCCCCTTTAACAAAATTCTGTATCTTTGAAGCTAAAACGTAAAGAGACCAGAAAGCCACCGAAGCTACTGATGCGTGAAAACCACCACCTTGTAATTACAGTCAGAGCTTCATCAATAAAGCTGAAGATGACCGTCGGCTCTCAGGTCACAGAACAAAAAAGAAGACAATGACTCGACGCAAGAATGGAAAACCTTAAAGGCAAACGGAAATGAAGAGATGCGAGATAAGATATGGGTGCACCTCGCAGCTTTCTAACAAAGATGGGTACCACCGAAGCCACGCCATATCTGGTCATTACCATCACTCCCTGCCCAGTCAGCTGTAGCCACCAAACCCTGCTTTACATGCAAATCAGCTTCCTGTCGGTGCTTCCTGATGTGTGGGACTTGATAGCAGTCAGAGACTCTTCCCTCCTCCCCACATCGTCCAGTTTGGCTCTTGGAGCCCATTCAGCGCCAATTAAAGAGAGTTGGGTCTAATTGGAGGCACAGGCCTGCAATTAATTTGCCCAGCTTCCCGTGAACTCGCCACACTGCCTCGTCTGCGTGCTATCCGCCCACCCCCACCAGCATCTTCTGCCGGTCGCCGCACTTTAGGTGAAGTCAGCAAAATTAGAGACAGCTCGGTGGAGAGATTAATCACTTCAGTGGAACTGTGAGGAGCGGTCAGTGGGACATAATTAATCCAGCACTTCAATGAAGGGTATCGCATTCATGCCAAAGCTAACGAGGGCGACAGGCTAAAGCTAGGAGGGCCATCAACCGTCGGACTCCCAAAGCAGACACAGAACCAAAGGGTTCGTCTTTGCCTTCGGTTTATTCCATTTCACATTCAAACGGCTGTTTGGTCTAAAAGAAAACGGCAAAGATACTTCAAATGATAGAATATTAATAATTCAGTGGTTGCGCTGAAAACTCGACGGAACCAACGAGTTTATTTGGAGGAAAAACAGTTCAGTCACACAGATCCATGATCTAAGAGGCAGAAATGTAAATTTTATTTTAAAACATAATAAAAAAAAAAACAAGATAACTAGTTTCAGAGACATGTCAGTTTTTTCCTGTTAGATCAAACAAATGTTAAATTATGGAGAAACATTGGTAAAATACATTTAAATCGTGTATAATTATAATAAACTGGATTCCAGGCGGGTACCTGAAACCCAACCGGGCTAATTAATCAACCTCCATCTGCAGCCGGCTCTCGCTCCAGCCTTTTGAACCTACGGACCTGATACCGCAGCCCAGGCAGCGCCAGCTCCACCAGCAACCCCGCGCTGCTGCAACAGCTCCGCCACCTCCTTTCACCCGACTAGAAGGGCTCATATGTTTTATTTAAAAGATCTTTGAGGCTCCCTGCTGCAGTCTGCTCTGCCCGTGCCCTTCCTGATCCACAAAGCTCCTCCGTCACTTGAAATGGTCTCAAGTTTGGGGTTTAATAGACGAGCTGTCAACTATTTAGATGTGGAGAGTTGTGCCGCGAAGCAGTGTGTGATCGGAGGCTGTTCTCTGAGGATAGTTGCACCTAATCTGCATGACTAATGTGCAGACATGGAGTACGGTGAGATGGTTTCCTGTTGCAGAGAAAACCGAAAGAATAAGTTTGAGTTTTAAGCTTCCTGTAGGCGAGCGTGGATCAGTTACATGATGATATAATCCGTGTGTGTGTGTGTGTGTGTGTGTGTGTGTGTGTTTCCCCCACTAAGTGACCCCCGTTACTTCAGCTCCATTAGCCCTCACAGGTGGGGGTGGTACACGAAGACACTGCCGGTGTTTGGGATGATTCTGTCCGAGCACACGCTTGCTCCCCCTACAGGTGCGGGCTTCGACACTGACCAGCGGGTGAGGCTCGCTCCTTGCCCACGAAGCCAAATCTGAGAGCGAAATCAGAGACGAGCAGAGTGCACGCTTCACAACTGAATCAAGCTGTTCTGCATCTCCTGCTCACTTCGCTTTGAGTCATCTAACCCTCCCTTTTCTTTAAAGGGCTGCCCTTCCTTCTCCTCCACTGCTTTCCACCCCCCCCCCCCTCCTCTATTTCGTTTTTGCTTCCAGACAGAGAATGTGAGATGAGCTAATGCAGCACAGAGCCTCACCAAAGGGAAGCTGGGACTTCTACTGCAAGGATCTGATCGATTAGAGCCCGAGGCCAGATTTTCCACCTCCTTCTACCCGCTCTCTCACTCGCTACTGAGCTCAGAGTTTCTTTTTCCTCATTTACTCGCACACACACACACACACACACACACACACTTACGGATTCACAAACATAAAACTGTGCTTGGGGGAAACCTTTGCTTGTTGTGGAGGTAATTAAAAAACAACAACAATTCTTTCTCTCTTACAAAACAAACCCTGGTAATGAGCAGCACTTGCCTCAGACCGATCCACCCAACCGAAACAAGGGTCTAGATGTTGACCCACCAAGCCTCGCGATGGCCTTTGGGCACTGGTTTGCTCCTGAAACCCTAATTCCCAGCCCCCTGGAGGCATGAATAAACAAAGATACGATTTGTTATGGACGCCGTGAAGTTTAAGTTATTCCGCTCGCCTCTGGATCACGATTATTCCTCGTATTTCACATCATGAACGTGTTTCGAGATTCTGTTTTGTGATTATACTCAAAAATATGAGCAAGCTTCCCTAATGTGAAAAAAATGTGTATTTGACGGATCGTGTACACATCATAAGGCAACAGACGGATTGAATCTTCATTAGAGACAATAATGGGCCTTCTAGAAAAAGGACCCGAGCGCTGCAAGCCAAAGCAGAGAAGACGACCCCGTAACACCTCGACTCGCCGCAGCGCCGGGACAGGGGGCGGGGTTAGCTCGGTCAGAGCCCAGATCACTCCCTCAACACGACGCTTCTGCATTTCTTGCAATTAAAATCTGATGTTCTCACAGGCAAAAGACCTGAATTATTAACTACTTTCCTCTGGATACACCCGTGAGACATCATGACCAAGCTGGAGAGATGCTGGAAAACCCACAAAAACAAAAGAACGAAAACAATTACCTAGTGGCGGCAATCAGTTCCAGTCTGATGGTTTCCCTGAGTTAGAAAAAAGAGCCACCCACTCGCCGTTTTTTTTCCACGGCTGCTGTCTTGGCACAGCATGAGGAAGTGGGGACGGGCCAGGCGCACGGCCTTTACCCAAAACATCTTACAGGGGAGAAGGACGGTGGGACTATTTGGATGAGTTGGTCCCTGCAGGCCAGATAACGTGCCCACATCCCTGAATGATAAACCCCGTCAGGAAGCAAAGGCGAGGCGCTCCTGAAGAGCAGCGCTGTTCTGGGTCAGCCACGTCTGAGATCCAGCTGCGCGTCGGTATTATGGATCTGTGATAAGGGAGGCTGAGCACAGTAGGGCACTCCCCATCTACAGCCCCATTAATCTGTGATTAGGGGACTTAAGAGGGATTTACGGCAGAGATAAGAGCAGAGGGTGTGTCCCCGGGGTAGCCGAGCAGAGGCTGGAGCCATGCCTGCTCAGGACAGGGCCCGGCCGCTTTAATGACTGAGCCCAGAAGAAAAGGCGACCTTTTCTATTGAATCAGAGCAGATAACAGAGAGGAGGGTCACAGATAAGATTGAGACGAAACGGGCAGAAAAGGCGAGATACAGTATTCCAGCGGATCAGATGACACGGACAGGAAAGTGAAACTGAATCTTTTATGGCTTCAGCCGTGCAATCCCACCCTGGAATGTGCTGCATAAACGAC